TAAATAATTATCAAACATGTTTTTTGTTTTCAAATTTTACCACAGAAAAAATAAAAATTGTTTATATCTTTTATTTTTTTAAAAAACACGAAAATAAAAACATTACCAAATGCATCCTTAATGTTTATTGATTCTCTATTTTCAATGAACATAGTACATTAATCTCCTCTCTCTCTCTCTCTCCCTCCGCATTATATTTTCTCCCCCCTCTAAGATTTTTAAAAGTGCGTGTATATATAGCTTATTTCATATATTGTATTAAAACTGTTCAAAAAAAAAAATCTATTGTATTAGAAGGCTTAATGACCTAACTATAGGACGTAGATAATATCATGTTAAAGTTGATTTTGGATAAATTTCATATAAGTATAAATTTAACAATGACAATGACTTGTTGAATAACATTCCTAATTTTGTCATTATTGGCCCTCCTATAAAATCTTGACTCAATTCCAAAATATACATGATGATAAAAGACAAAGTTTATTAGGGTTTTTTGCATTTTACACCCCACAAAAATCTCTTGATTCTCACTTCATACACTAAAAGATTATTTTTTTCATATTACACCTTGAATGTCATAAATTGAATCTAATGTGGCTTTCGAACTAACATCCATTTCAAATTCTGTTAAAAATTAATGCACTTGCCACCTGTATGTGATGTTCTTGGATAAAAATGTAAACTAGCCATCCATATCCCTGGGTGGCATGTACATTAATTTTTAACGAAATTTGAATCGGATGTTAGTCCGAGGGCCATATTGGAACCAATTTATGACATTCAGGGTGTAATGTGGAAAAAATAATTTTTTGGGATACAAAGTGGGAATCAAGACATCTTTCGGAAAGAAAATGGAAAAATCTCACTTTAATAAGACACAAACTCTAATTTTCACTAAAAGAAATTGCATTAATATTTCTTTCTGTATCTCTAGCTTCAGCTTCTGGCCGATGTATCACCTTCATTTACAAGGTCTAATGGGGGATGGATTCGTGATACAATGCAGTTCTGTGTAAGTTGGTTGATTTCTACCTAGCTAGATGTTGAATTCCAAGACTTACATTACTATCTCCACCTACATTAACAGTCAGATTTTTTTGTAACATCTGTAACGGTCATTCCAATAGTCATACATAACATGTTCGTAGTAGACAGATCTAGGTTGTAATAATTGGTCGAGAACTACCTAATATACAATTGATTTATCTACCTAAGAGGCTATTTGATTTTGAGTTATATATTATAACAGGTATTAGAGATCGGTGTTGCCAGGGGCGGATTTGCAATGTGGGCAGCTGTCCACACTGCAATTTTATAAACTTTTGGGGCCTAGGTAGATTTTTGAAAAGTTTCAGAAGTGTTTAAAGATTGCCCCATTGAAAATTTATAAAACATATAGGGTTATTTCTACAATTTAGTAAATAAATGGAGTCCTTAACAAATGTATGTAGACAAGATGTAGTTGTTTTATCCTCAAACCATTGTTGCCTATTAAATGTTTGTTAAAATGCCACAAACAAAGCCATGACAAAATGAGCAAGTAACTATGAGTATCCGTGAGTCCTAAAGAAATTATGAAACACTTGAAAATTCAAACAACATGGTTGCTTGATCAATATACATTGATCTTTTTGCATTTTGAC